GCCCCTAAGGTTTCCATATCTAGTCTCATCTTTCATCTATCTAATTCTGTTCTCAAGATTAAGGAAAGACAGATGGACGAACGGACAACAGTGGAAATTTATAGGTCTGCATTATTTTCAAATTGCAGCCCAAAAAATATGAAAAATCCTCTTCATACTGTAGACATTCATATGCCATAAATTTTGTAATTTTTCTTGAAATCACCAATATCTTCAGGGATTTCAGAAAATGCATCAACTTTAATTCTCTCATTCATTCTATGTCAATCTGTGCTTTAACTGATATTATTAGACACTACTATCTGAATTTGTATCTTCCTGGTAAATCTATGGTAATTTCCCATCTCTCATAATAATGTCTTTAATAATTTTTTCAAGGTTTATATAGCATGTGTTATAAACTACAATGGATTTTCATACAAAATTTACAGTAATAAGTTAGTGTCATACATAGATTTTGTTTTAAACTTTTCAAGTTTGACTCTGTTAATTTATAGTATTTTTATAGTAATTTTATACAATTCATTTAATATCTTACTTTTTATATGTTGAAGAAATATATATTTTAAAATTTAAATTCAATATTAATTCAATAAATCAAAAATTTTTGTGTTAAATTTTAAGATTCACATTAGATTGAAGCACTTCTCCCTTCAAAATACAAATATTGATAAGTTTTGAAAAACAGATTTTATTTCTTAAAAGTGAAGATAATTTCTTTATGCTATTTTTGTATTGTATAACTTGCTCATTATCATCTAAGTTCATTTGATCTAATCAAGAATATACAATGAGATTATTAAGTAAATATTGATTGATCAAATTAATGAAGTACACAAAATTACAGAAAGTTTATTCCTCTTATATAAATATAAGCACAGTTTAGAGATAAAATTATGAGATAAAAAGTAAGAAAAGTTTTGAGTGTAGTAAATTGTATAAAACAGCATATAATTAGTTTAATTTATTACATTAAAGTTCATTTAATCTCAATGGGATGTGTTAACATTGGACTAATTATTCTGTATGAATCAATTATCCAAAAGGAAATAAGAGATAATTTGCAAATCAAAAAAGAAAAGATAACCAATTCAAATTAATTCATAATTAATTGTTAAAAAAAATCACTGCTCAAAACATTACAGTATTTCAAAATTCATTCTTGTTTTTCAGAAATGAATCAATATTAATCTTTCACAAAGAATTAAAAATATGTAGTGAACTTTTTCTAAAACTACTGCTGGCATGCCTATATAATGACTAAAAATAAAGTTCTGTTTTAGAAAAAAAAATGTAACAATAACTAAAAACAGTATTTAATACAACTAATTATTTAATTTTAATACTATAAACGTACACATTTACAGTATTTTCTAAACTTTTGTACATTCCATCTAAACCTTCTTTCTTTCTTATTTCTTGTTTTGAATTTAATGTCAGTTGCTAAATGCTGCCCTTTCAGTAACCAAGTTTTTACCTTTTTCTTCCAAAATATTACCATTGGTGTTTCTCCATATCTCATTTCTTAACAGTATTGTACTGTACAGTACATTCATTCAAAGAGAGCCTCTGACAAAGAGGAGGAGTCCTCAACCCATTTGCTTTCAGGTCTGCTCCAATTGGCCCACTGCATTTGTTGTGGCTGATAGGATGACCCAGTTTGTTTCATTTGTTTTTATTGTGCCAGTCACCAGACTTCTCACTTGAACATATAGAATCTCCTTACTGATAAACTAACTGTACTACCTACTGGTGCATTCTAGCTGAAAAGTAGTCATGAAAATATGTAAGGAATGCTAATAACTACTCAGCATTTTAAGGCAAAAATGTCTTAATTTTGAATGTGAAGAAATCATTTACTATTATTACTTGTTGGTGGTGAAAGACAAAAATAGTTGGGAAATTTGAAATGCGAAAATTTCTACAAATGACAATTACATTAACTAGTAATAATACAGTTTTTAAATAGAAATTCATATTTATCTTTTTTCCCTAATCCTTCCTTATTAAAGATAATTTCTGAATAAGAAATCACTACAATAACCAAAAATTCAAGGAAAAAAAAAAGAAGGAACGAACACATTAATAAAACTAAAGTTTTCAACCAACTTTATTGGCCACCATCAAGTTCACAAAAATTTAATATCATACATAAAATAGAATTTACCTAAAGGAGTCTACCCTCAACCATTTATTGGATAATAGAGTTGATAGCAAATTAGAGTAAATGGAGCCACAGCATGTCCCTTGAACATACATTTAAAAGAACATGAAAAATCTATTAGGAAGGGTCTTTCCACAACAGCTTTAGTAGCATACACTACCAACCATTAGGTGCAAGTCTACCTAGACAGAGTCATCCTAGACACTCATCACATCAGGACAAAGCCCAACTTAAACACTAGGAAAGAAATGAAATTTACAAGGCCAGTAGAAATTTTTCAGCTGTAAGTTAACAGATTCCATGATATACAAGTGATGACTAAGCAGCAACATCCAATCAAATATATGTTCTTTTAGTTCAAATTTTGTGAATTCTATTTTATGTTTGTCATTAATTTCATTTTAAACCAGACAATGGCCAATAAAATTGGTTGAAAATGTTAGTTTTAGCAAAAAAAGAACAGTTTAATATAAAATGTTCACCCTTTCTTTTTTTGCTGGATTTTTGATTATTGTGGTAATTTCTTACTTGTTTATCCAGTTCCTTTGATTGCTTTTTACAGGTAGTTGCTGAAATTATTAAATACAATACATAATTTTTAGATTAAAGTTCTTTGTAATATTTTGATCAACAATATAAAAATTGAAAAAGAGACTAATTTATTATATATAGATTATTTGAGTTTGTATATAATTGGAATTAGTTTACAGAAAAAACTAAACTATAGAAGAACCCTGATTATCCAAAGTAATGTGGACTAATACTACCTCAGATAACCAAAAATTCAGATAAAACAGAAACCATTTCAGATTAAAAATTATGAATACAAAAGATTTATATGATACATCATTTTTAAGCCTCTTTTTATACCTTAGTAAATTTAATCATATATAAGAACAATTTTTACATCATTTATTATACAGCATGTACCATAAGAATAAAAATGTGTATACCGTAGTCACATTTTAATATGAATGGTGTCTCACACATTAAAAATGGTAAAATGTAGCAGAAACAAATCATTTTGTAATGTTTATTATTATTTTAACTATCTTTTATGAATTACCATATAAAAAAGTGTATTCATTACAGGTTTACCTTGGATAATGCAGGACATTGGTTAATCAGGACTTGAATAATTGAGATTCGATTGTATTTGATAAGTTATAACTTTTGTAAAAATGATTTAACTATTGAAATAAAGAAAATTAATTATTATTAGATAAAGTAGTTTTCTTCTACTAGTAATACACTCAAGATTTAATCGTAAGGGAGCCGAATTAAACAGAAAAGCTTTTTAATGCGAATTCAATAAAATTCCTACCATAGGTAACCACTAATTCACAGGTAATATAGAAATAGAACACACAACACAATATAAATTAAAAAAATGATTTTTAATTAAAAAATATTTTTGGAAAATTTACTAGTATTTCTTTCCCTTTTACTTTTGGGATGCGAGGGCACCTTGGCCCACTCTTCTGGGTGCACCACTGTACTACAGTAGAGCAATAACATTATGTAGGTGAGACTATCAAAGTATAGTATATATTATTCAGTGTAATAACAAATCTGGAAAGTTAAATTTTTAATAAGAATGAAAATGCACAACAAAATTTATCTATAAAATTTTATTTATAAAAGAATATTTCTTAATATGTTTTAATTATGGTTAATCCAGTAGATGATTTGATTAAAGCTAGAAAAAAATAAGATATTCTAATAATTTTAAAGAATATTTAGACCGATTAATTAGACTCCTATTCAGCATTTTATAATGAAATTTTATACAGAGAAATTGATTTAATTCTGAAATTAATCAGTTTAAATTAGTAACTAAGTTTTAAATGAAAAATTTGAAGTAAAATTTGATCTATTATTTTCAAAATCTTAATCGGTACATCATTGCTTGTTTTTGATAGATATCACTTTTGGAGATTTTACCTATTAGTCAGGCCGTAAATTAATATAAAGATTAAATTAATACGAAATATTAGCATTATATTTCACGACAATATAAAAAATACTGATTTATTTAACCTTAAATACGACTCTTAAAGTCAAGGAAGTTGAAAGCTTTAATTACTAAAGTAAAATTTGGTTTCTCTATCAATCATTTTAAAATATGTATACTGAAAGAATATGTCAATCATGAATTATTTCATAGTAATCTTTTCATAAGCGTTAATAAATTAATTTATAAAATACACAGTATTAATTTGTAAAAATATATTACGACATAAGAATTGTCACCAATTGATTATGTTTATCATTTAATTTTCCTTCCGTAAATGCCGGAGGAAAATCTTAAAAATAAAAATCATTTTATAATTATTAAGTAAGCCAAACTATTTTCTGATATTACTTAAAACATTTTCTCATTGTCTAAACTATTACTCTGATTTTTAAATGTTTTGTAATATTGGCTCAATAGTTCCTTACTACATAAACGATGACGACACAACAGATCTTTTTTAAAAAGTTCTTTTTTGTCATCTACATCCTTTTCTTTGTATATTACTCATTAATTATCACTTAAATAATTAAATCCACTTCCATATATTCAAGACGATATGTGTTAAGCGTACGTCATTTAATATTTTAATCGTATATTATAAAAATATCATAAGCCGACTGAGAATCGAGAAGATAAAATTATAGCATAAAATATAATGGTATATTTGATTAGATTGGAACACGAATTTCAATATAAACGAAGTCTATTTTAGAACCGTTTTTTTGTTTATAATTTAGCGAGCGGATCCAAAATAAATTTCGTTTCTTAACCGATACAGTTAATCGCTATTTAATTATAATAAAAGATAAAAAGAATTACTTTATAAACGTCTCCATACGTTCCACTGCCGATCCTTTGAATCAAATCGTATTCGTCTTGAGGATTTCTTCTCGATATATCTATCATTGCCATGTTTCTATTCATTTCCGTCTCATCTGAAATATTTGCCCATGACTTTGATAATTGCGCCTCGAATAATATCAAAAAAGAAAAAAATAATAACTTTCTTAAACCACTACAAACAGTTCATCCATCTTTCTTGGATACAAACAGCAACAACTCTGTAAGGAAGGCTAGATGGCGCTTTTAGACGCTTATCGACTACATCTGACATATCGAACATCGCACCACTTTGACCGTGTTTGTTTATTTTAAACTGGTATTTTGATTGCTAATAAAGAACATAAAAGTGTCTAGATAAATATATTTATAAATAATATCGGTAAAAAAGTTATTAAATGTAAATAGAGATGAAAATGATAAATTGAAAAATGAAAAATGTAATCGGAAAAATCAAAGTGTGCTATAAAATAGAGAAGAAAAACTTCAGAGAGAGAGAGAGAGAGAGATCCTAATTATCAGTGGTGAAGCCAATTGTTATGAAATAGGAAGGATGAAATGTTAAGTAAAGTGGGTCGTCAGTTAAAACATTTTTGCGATAACTTGGATAAAAGATAAGGCAATTGTATTTGTGTACACCTTATGTGTGTTGAGTTTTAAATTGTTTTTATTGAAAGTAATTTATACACGTGTTACAGTTAGGGGACCACCTGTGAAGCTCTGTAAACCTGGAGATATTTCAGGCACGTGACTACCATCCACGCGCTAGCTAAGCCCGATTATAGGAACGGAGATTTACAAATGTATTAGGAAAACCGGGTGCATCTAGTAGAGGTAGTTACAACAATTTAACAAATTCCAATACATTACACTCAACTTGTTTTGTGTATTTATGTTATATCCTCAGGAGTATTGTATAAGTATTGTACTGTACATGCAGGGAAAAAGAGACGATTACTACGAAGAGGAATAACATGCTCAAAAATTTAACTATTTTATTCAGTAATGCTTAAAAATCAGTGCAACCCAGAAAAATAATCGTAACACCGTAACACCCGGAGTTCGGAGATGAAGTGTGAAAACCCGAAGAGGTGGCATCCTAGTTACAGTGTTGTAAACAGTACTTTTTCAGCCACATCAAATCTAAACTAGATTTAACTTTTCAAGGGCAAAATATAGTGAATTCGATTGATAATTTCTCCATGAATGTTAACTAGGCTAGTTTCCTAAATTTCTTGAAGTGCCGCCTAAACATTATTTTTAATTCATTTGCATTTGAAACCTTTCATTTGAAAAATATGTATTTTTTCGTGTATTTTTCCCATCTGTTCTCCCCTCTTTACGCTGAGTTCAACTCTTCTCTTTAGTTGACTTGTCGACATGACTAGCTTGCAAACACGTATTCCTATCTTACTGTTGTGTTTTGTGCGCGTTCAGGCGTTTCTGTAATAAGAGATTTTGTTTCTTGTGTTTATTGAAAGCAAAATTGCATTAGTAATTTTTTATTTCTATTATCATAAAACACTTAAAAGTTTCATCTAAATTGTGAGTTTACTTAAAAGACGGTATATGTGATCAGAGGGCTTTGAATTCAACATGGCAGTAGCGTACCGTGGGTGTCAGCCGCCCGGGGCGGAGGAAAATTTCGCCCCCCTTATTTAGGTATTTCAATTTAAAAGACCAAAATTCAATTTTGTCACAGAACAAGCAATGAAAATTTTGATGGTAGTGCAGCGACCTGTTTAAAATAGTTCTATTTGATATTAGCGGTGTATATGAACGCGAATGAATCGTACAAGCAAAAAAAAGGAGTTCGCAGGAATTCATCGGATGAAAAAGTTACTAGTTCACCCGGCGAGCCGATTCCCGGACTGTCCGGACGATAGCACTATCGTAGGCGCGATGCAAGTATAGATTAGGATGTTTCAAATTTTTACAAGATATTATTATTATTTATTGTGAAATTTTGCCGCCCCCTAAAAAGTGCCTCCCGGGGCGGGCCGCCCCTGCCGCCCCCACTACGGTACGCCACTGACATGGAAGGGGACTCGTTAGGAGAAGCGGATCCCTCCAGCGAAACGTAGCGCAATTTGAATCTGTGAATGATGCAGCTGATCTAGGTGAATTTTCACAGCAGAGTGAAGATAATCAACAACTTCCGCACTATTTTATTTAAAGTTTTTTTATACAGTGGGTGATCGGTTAACGAACAAATCGGATAACGAACACTTTCGCGAAAGATTTTTATACTCGGACAACGAACACCCCACAGAACAAACACAAGAAAAAGCGAAATAAAATAATGAATACTTATTGGTCTTCCCTTGTCTTCGGACAAGGGAAGACCAATTCGAAACTTTTTAGAGTGTGGGAGATGTCGACATCGACGATCAAGTCGGTATATACCGATCTGATAGTATTCCTCCGAACTTTGAAACTCTCCCTTGTAATTCCAGCCGTTTATTTTTCTGACAAAACAATTCTTTTATGTATTCGCGAAACTGTCGGGTAGGCACTCGTTAAGTTTTGCGTCTGTTTTTGTTTTCTAAAGGTGACAGTATAATAGCAAAGGTAGAGAGTGGGCAAAAGATGCCAAATGTTGCTGGGAAGTATGGCGTGAACAGGTCTACAGTAGGCCGCAGTTTAATCGTATTTAAGAAAAATACTGTATAATCAAGAAGACTCAAGCAGCTAAAGGAGTAATAAAAATTACATCTGAGAAATAAAGAACATCGAAGAGTTCATAATGGAACCTGAAACTGATCTGACGACAGAAGAAAGCCAAGATCTCTTGAATGAAGAACACCAAGAAACTCGGTGAGATATCTTTTCTTCTAAAAAAGAGGATTAATGCCGATATTTGTTATTAACCGGTTGATCACCCACTGTATTTTTAATTATTATGTGCAATTATTTATTGTGACATGTCACAATGTCGGGCTGCAATTTTTAATCATATATTTCATTTAAAATATATGCTCTTCATTTCAAATTAGTAGTGGCTTGCCCCTCTACATCATACTTTTCATTTAACGATAGAGTCGTGCCGGCCATCTATGTAAAATATTTTAGGCAGTGGCGTAGCGTAGTGGGGCGGAAAAATTTCACAATAAATAATAATAATATCTTGTAAAAATTTGAACCATTTTATTTCATATTTTGGTGGCACCTATGATTCGGACCGAGTGAAATGAGCACGGAATAGTGTTACCACCCGTCCGGTCTTCACCCGGACAGTATGGGAATCGACTCACTGTCCGGGTGAACTATTAATTTTGTCCGGGAATATCGTGAGCCACCTGGCGTCCTTTTTTTTACGATTCGTATTCATATACACCTCCAACATCCAATACAGCTGTCATCTAGGTTACTTACGTTACTCCTACCAAAGTCTCCCTAGTTCCTAACTGTAACTGATTTACAACCGGCATGCACTGCACACAGTGCCGGCCAGAGGCAAGATTTAGGATGGAGCGAGATCCTATTATGGCGCTCCCTGGTTGCCCCTAATTTATACCCTTTAATTTTCTTTACCACTGAGGCGCCTCCTAGGACTTAGCGCCTGGAGCGGCTGCTCCGTTCACCCTATGGTAGGGCCGGCTCTGACTGCACATTATTCTTCGATTGCAAAATGACATTATGCATGCATCAGGAACTGAATTTTAGTCTTTTAAATTGAGATATCTAAATAAGGGGGAGGCGAAATTTTCTTTTGCCCCGGGCGGCTGACACCCACGCTACGCCACTGATTTTAAGGATAAATTTTTGAATTAAAATAACATGACTTCTGGTGTCCCTAATGTTTCAATATCTAGTCTCGACATTCATTTATCTAATTCCGTTCTCGAGATTAAGGAAGGACAGACGACGACAGTGGGAATTTATAGGTCTACAATATTTTTCAATTGCAGCCCAGTAAAATAGCAAAAAGCGTAATTTTGGAAGTAGACGTAACGTAAGTAACCTAGGAATTCCTTGGAAAACCCATCTATACGCTGGGTTTTCCAAGGAATTCCGGAAACTGTGTCTAGAACACGCAAGAAAAGTGTCGAGAATTCGAGCAAATAAAGATTTATTACATAATCTTTTGATAACGTCAGTCCCAGTATTTACATCTACAAGAAGAAAACAAGCGTAGTTATTAATCCTGAAGTAACGAAGCTAATACAGGCTCTAAATATCCAAATAACAACAGCAACAAACACACGAGAAAAGGATAGTGATTCTCTTCGTAGTGAGGCTACCGATTCTGACGATAAAAATAGTTATGATAGTATGTAATGTACAAAAGTATGTTTCTTTTATGTTTTAAGATTTATTCTAATTATTGTAAATACATTTTGATTACAATTAAATTGTTCCATTCTTAACATAATTTTGTCCCGTTAGATTCGCGAAATCTAACGCTGTGAGATGGCTCTAAACAGTGCCGTAACTAGGGCGGTGCCAGCGGTGCCCAGGCACAGGGCGCAGAAATGACCTGGACCAAGTTTTGGGTCATAGTTTTGCATAGTTACAGTAAGCTCGCACCGGGCGTATAAAAGGCTAGTTACGGCGCTGGCTCTAAATCCAGCAATCGCACAGCCGCCGCCGTAATCTACGACGCTTGCAACTATGCCACTCGGTACGTCCTACAACCTCGGGCCAGCATTTACACAACGGAAGCATACGCAATCCTGTGCGCAATCCACTACGCTAAAATCACCACGGACGACGTTTATACCTGTTCTGGTTCCTATTCTGTCTTGTCGGCCATCGCGGCAACCAACTCCAGCAAAAATTCTATCAGCCTAATTCAAAAATTCTATTAGGTTGGCACTAAACAGGAAACCATTGCCAAACATATCCATCACCTACATATGGACACCCGCGCACGTGAGCATAGAGATAAATGAGAAAGCGGATTCCCTTGCATGCTACACAATCATCATCACGGCCGAGGACCTTAGAAAATTAGGCAAGCGTGACCTCCAAACCCAAATGCAGGCCGATTGGGACTTCTACACACACGCCAAAAAGTACCCACGGCTGGGCACGGTAACAACTCTTAACACTTTAATAGTGATTGGTACACTATTCTAATCAACACAGCACGAACCAACTCTCTCCTCACTAATACCTTTCTGTTCGCAGCCGGATAGCCGAGCGGTCAGGGTGGCATCCTACCGCTGGGGGACCCTGGTTCACATCCGAACGGGTCGAAAATTCCCCAGGAATTTTTCGGCGGGTGGTCCGTTCTGATGTATCGGCGCCAAGTGCCCCGTCCCTCACCACCCGGCAGCCCCATTGTGGGCCTGGCCG